CAGGCGTGGCTGCCTCCTACGGTGGAGGCGCTCACCCTGGCTCAGTGGTTGTTGTCAGGCTAGGAGTAGATGGGGTGTCTCTGCTCGTCCTACCATGGTTGGGTGCGCTATGAAGTGTGCGGTGTACAGTGTTTCGCGGGTGCCGAGGTGGTGGTTTTGGATGGTGGGCCTCGCTCCATGGTAGTGGCTTCACCTATTGGTCGTGTGGGTGGCAAGTGGTGTAGGGGCGGGGATGCTCTGGTATGCTCTACCAATGCCCAAATTCGGTGGGGATGGGTCGGCCCTCGATGCGGTGGTGACTAGGACTTCTCTCAATGGTGGGGCTAGTATCCGAGCGAAGTTCGCATTTCTGGCGCCGACAGCGGTGGCATCCGTGAGTGTCGCTTGCTTCCCGAAGACATTGTCGTGGGTCTCGCCCTTATGCCAGGGCTCCGGGTGAAAACATCTGGCTGGTCGGACTGGATGGCGACGATGCTTTGCGCCATCACGTCTTGGGACGTTGTTTTAGAGCTCGGGAGTCTTAGGTAAGCCTGCGGAAAGATAGTAGGCTTGTTCCCATGTCTATCTTGTATCCGTGACCTACTTTGTAATTGTAAGGGGGGCACTCCATCGTATTGCATCGTTCATCCGTGTATTTTATTGTGTTGATCTATATATAAAATGAGATGAAAGCCTGTATTGAGTCGTCTCCGATTCACCAGTTATCCCCGTGCTCTTGACATAGACAATGGTATGGACGTGTTATTTTCTCCCTCCCTTCTTTCGATAATGTGGGAGTGACGGCCAAGCTCCCGCTACCGGTTGGTCCACCGCCGGATGGGTGGATCCCGTGGTAAAGAAGTCCGACGAGCCTGGCGACCCCAAGTCTAGCTCAAAGAAAGCAGACCAACGGACTTACTAGCCGACGTACCAACCCCGAATTGAACTTAGTTCGGGTGAAACATTAAAAGTTAAATAAATATTAAGGTACAAATGCAAGTTTGTTCAACCAAAATTCAAGATACTAAAACATCAAAATGCGAAATAAATACATTAGAAAGTACTCCCTCCGTAAAGAAAATACAAAAGCGTTAAGATCACTATTATATATATTTCTTTACAGATTGAGTAATAACATAGACTCTGCAACTTTAAATGCTTATTTGATGCTCACCCGCTGCCTGTTGGACTTTTCATCTCAGCAACCAACGGAGCTATTCCCACAAAATTGGAGCACTGTTATGAGTGTAGTGGAGTACTACCACTCCATAAACCAATCAATTCAACATACCCCGACTTTGACGTTCGAGAAGATCAGCACAGAATCATATAAAATCAATGACCCGAACTGACCTGACCTGACCAAACAGCGGCAGCGTTCCACACACACACCAATCTGTTATCTGTCAATCCAGGGGATCTCTCCCTGATCTGCACGTTTTCTCCGATGTAGTCCAGCTGCGTTCCACACACAGTTACATGTCACGTCGACGATGACACGCCATTTGCAACAACAGTTTTGCATCACTGGTCCGCCGGATGGATCCGGCCCCGCGATCAAAGTCCGGCGAGCCTGGCGACCCCGGGTCCGGCCGGCCCGGACCAAGCCGGCCAAGTGGCCACGCCCACGTTTCCCTCATGAACAGAACCGCCAGCGGGTGGCCGGTGTTTCCCGGCGGGCCATTTTCGGATGATCGATCCCCTGTCCGTCCATGCCGACCGTCCCGTCGCCTGGCCCCGCGGCGTCACACGCACCTGATGGCTCGACCACCACTGGCCTATCCACCTCCTCCCGTTCATGATCGAGACTTTGATTCTGCCCGAGATCTGGATGTCGTCTAGGCACATGGATCGTGGAACAGCGACTGCATTGCCACTTGCATAGTAGCTACACACATGACATGCATCTACGATTGATCGGTCGCGTGGAGATGCTCGTGACTTGCAACGAAGGTCACCCGCGTCTTCCATTTTGGACCACCGAGAACGTCCACGATATATCAAAACATGTTATATGAAAACGTATTTTTTGCCGTGATATATGGAAACGTATTTCAAGATAAACCTAATCGCGGTATTGATATATCTCTATATAACATGATCAAAATCGACAAAGTTTGGCATTTTTTTAGAAAGTATGTTTTTCGTCACTCAAATTTAAAGGAAGCTACCTTTGGTCCGTCAAAACAATTTGGTCCCTCAAAAAAATTGGTTGACATTTGGTCCCTCAAGTCTCAATACCGGTTACAGTTAGTCTAAAATCAGCTTAGAGAGGAAAACCAACCATGTGTCCTCGGTTTTCTCTCTCCTCCAGCTGTGTAACCTACTTGCGCCTCCGTCAAGGAAAACCGGTGCTGGCGTGTCTAGGGAGGGTCGTGCCACCACGCGTCCCTTTGATCTGCAGCACCGCCAGTGACACAGAGGTGAGAGCCGCTGCCCCTCCCCTTCCCTCGACTCGACCGGCGAGGCCCCAGCTAGCGACAGGAACACGCCGACGTCGCCCTCTCCTCCCCTTGTGTCTACTTCGTCGACGAACCCACCGTCGTTCGTGTGCAGTGCACTTTCTAATTTTGGACACAAGAAGGTAGCTTCCACGTGGCCAGTATTCTGCTCAAATCTAGGTTCGGATGAACTTTACCTGGTTCTTCCGAGACTTTAGGGACGAAATGTCATCCACAAATTCTTGAGGGATCAAATGTTAAATTTCAGCAAACTTAAGGGATGGAAAACATACCTTCTCTCTTAAAAAAAAACTTTGTGCACTATTAATTTGGCAAGGAAGACATTGCCTAACGCAGAAACACGCAGTTGTACCATGTACTTGAATCTCCCCAACCTTACATAGGCAGTACTACTACTAGTACCAACCCTGTACGCAGTACACGTAGAGAGCAAATTACTCCAGACGAGGTGTGGACTGCCTTTAGAGCATGACACCGGAATCAAGCAGCATCAAACGCAGTACGTAGGCAGCATCGATCGACAAATGAGACGCAGATAGCAAATCAACCTGTGGTTGAGTTGGTTAGGTGAACAGTGGTATCCCCAACCCATCAGGGTTCAAATCCTGGTGCTCGCATTATTCTTGAATTTATTTCATGATTTCCGGCGATGCGCTTTCAGTGGGAGGAGACGTTTCCGTCGACGACGAGGCGCCTACGGTAACTTCGTAAATCTCAAGATGATATGCCGGCTCAGTCTTTCGGAGGTGCTCATAGGGATAGGGTGTGCGTGTGTGCGTTCATAGGGGTGAGTGTATGCGCGTGTATATGAGCGCTTGTGTTTGTACTGATGCTAAAAAAAATGAGACGCAGATACGGTACGTAGGAAGCAGTACGGTACGTAGGAAACAGTACGCTACGTACTACGCGAGACGCGACACCCGCCGTGCGCTCCACGGAGTAGGTACGTGCCGCTCTCATAACTCGGGTCAGCCCGTGCGATCTTGTCCGACTTTTCCCCCTTCCCCGAAGATCACACCGGGCCGGTACTGCTCACTCTAATGCTAGTGGTCATGAGTTCATACAGTTGCAATCAGAACTTTATGACTCTGCTTCACGCAGTGATCTTGAATTCCTGACATTTCTCGCTAGCTGTTTAATGCCAGAGCAGGAGTTTTTTTTTTCCTATGGACCAGAGCAGGAGTTACTGCTACGTTTTCCCTGCTGCCTGTGCCCTATCTCTGAATTCTAACAGTTCAAGCCATGTGGTTTCACTTCCAAAACAGGGTTTACATCTAATAACTTCAGCATTTTTTACTCACCAGGTGAAACGTACATTTACCGGTGATAAAGAAATATAGATATATTGATGATTAGTATTATTACTCCAGTAAACAATGGGAAGTCAAGGCTAGAAATGCGACTTTTCTTCATGCAAACCAACAAACAACTGCTACAACTACTTGTCCACAACTCAAATCAAAGATAATATATACGCACATACATGTCCGACTTTGACATTCCACGAGACAAGACACAGAATCAGGTAAAATCAGAACCCAACCTAATAACTAACACACAGCTGCACGCACCAATCCGCCATATCTTCTCCCTGATCCGCGTGTTTATTCCCAGTTTAATCCAGCCACATGGTGGCCACATACAGCGCTCCCACACCTCACCTCACCTCGCCTTGTGCGGAAGCAGAATCTGGCACCAGGTAAGCAGATCTCCGGGGAGATCCTTCCACAGTGCCCCCATTCATTACCATATCTCCCTACCTCCATATATGCTCCGGCCTTTGGACTTTTCATTTTTTTATACGCCGCGTATAACAACAGCTCACCTAAGACAACCCACAAGCATTGTATATGTACATTTACGAGATACGCACGTACGATCAAGATTGTGCTTCTGCTAGTATATTAGCTCGTCGACATCATCATCAGCGGAGCTATTTAACAATCAATCATCCAAATTGTATCGCGTGGCAGACAAAGCATGATCAGGGGCAGGCAGATGCGTGAACTGCATGCGGCGACCATGTGCAGATTAAGTAAGGAGAAGCGATACAGACGATGATGGTTAATTGTTGCAAAAGATTAGCTCTGATTATGGAACTGTCAACATGTTGCTCTGATCCGATGCCATTTCGACATTTAGCCAAGATGGGAAACTTCTCTGAACAACATTCATTCAGAAGATTTCCTTTCTTTTGGCCGGATGAATACTCTGTTTTGATTTTTTTTTTCTTGGCATCTTTGAAGAAGCAGAGCACACAAGGGGACGAACTAACATCCTAATCTAGTCATCATCATCTACTAGGACCCCAAAAAGTTAAGCTGTTGTTTGAGGCGGCAGCAAGCGGCGGATCTATGTCCATGGAAAGAACACCGAAGAAAAAAGAATGAAAAATCCTACTTAAGAATTAATCCTCCTCCGTAGATGATCCACGGGTGCGGCGAGAGACGGTTCATCACCGGATGCGGTTGCAGAGGCGGGAGACGTCGGAGGGGCGGACGGGCTTGAGGAGGAAGTCCTCGGCGCCCTCCTCGAGGCAGCGGGTGATGCGGTTGGGCACGTTCTCCGACGACATGATCACCACGGGGATCTCCCGGAGCTCCGACGACTCCTTGACCCGCTTCAGCAGCTCGTACCCGGTCATGCCGGGCATCCAGTAGTCGGTGATGATCATGTTCACGTCCGTGATGAGCCCCAGGCCCAGCAGCTCCAGCGCCCGAGTCGCAGAGTCCACAGTAGTCACTGCAACATAGAACAAGGCAGATTAGAACATGTACGACGAGGATGGATCGAGTAGCCGTCCAATTTCTTGAAGAATTGCCGGAGCGCGGCTTGATTGGATTGATTCGATTTCTCACCTCTGTATTTTGAGCTGCGGAGGATCTTGGCGATGACAGCGCGGTCGACGACGCTGTCGTCGACGGCGAGCACGTGCAGCTCCGCCTGGACCTGGACCTGGACGACGACCTCGTCGGCGTCGGTCATCACCGGCACCACCTTGCGGTCGCCGGCGGCGGTGGGCTTCGGCGAGGGCGCCACCTTGGCGGCCATGGCGGCCGGCAGGGTCATGGCCGGAGCCTGGGTGGGAGCAGCCGCGGCCATCAGTCGATCAAACTCTCTCGCCGAAGAAGCAGTAGTAATATGGAACGGCGAAGAGCTCTTCTTCTTGGCTTGAATAGATTGGTGCGTTTGGGTGTTGGTTGGGTTGGCCGCGACGCGCGGCGGTATATATACAGGGGCGGGGGGGAAGCGGAAAATAAATGCGGGGGAAATCCTGCGAGATCTCGAAAGGGATCCTAGGCTCGCGGATCGAGTAAAACCCAGCCCCCGGTGGGGCCCGGCCCGATCCGGGCGCGGATCCGCGGGCCCCGCGGCCCAGCCCGGGAGATCCCCGCCGGGATTTTCCTGCCGAGCCCCTCGCTTTCGCTGCGTCACCCCCTCCATCGCTCACGCACACCGTATGCTGTCTGCGTATCTTCTCTCTTCCCTTTTTCTTTTCTCTCCTTCCGTTGGGGTGTGGGCAAGTGGGGGAGATGAGATTTGCATGCATGGGGCACGCACAAACTGCATCACTTTTTTTTTAGTTTTTCTTCCTGCTATACTATATCCGGCTAGCAACTGAGGATTTGATTTGGTCTTTCCGGGCGGCAGCAGGTGATCCGTACCGGGTGGGCTCGGGGATTTGCTTCAAAATTGTGGATCTTTTTGGGTGAGCGGCGGCACGATACGTCTTGATTTCAGAGATTCACCCGTGATTCGTGAGATCATCGGCTTCGTTTGGTTTCCTTCCGTGCGTGGAAGGGTCACTTGCCCCTTCGATACGAGGAGCCCCTCCCTCCTCCTCCTGCATCACAGCTGTTGCCGATCCATCTCACACGCGATCTCTCCCTTCCTTCATTCCACTCCCAGCCCAGCCCACGTACGTAACGCACCACCAACGTCGTGCCGTGCGTGCGTGCGTGCATGGCAGGATCTCCGGATTTCATTCGCGATCGCTCGGGCGGGACGGGCCATTTACGCCGGCCGGCCGCCACCGACCGGTCGCTCGTCACGCCGTATCGCGTCGCGTGATCTCCCTTCCACCACTGGGCGGAACGGATTACGGAAGGGGACCAACAACGGCAGGCGAGCGACCCGGCCGTACGCCCGTCCACGCGTCCGCAGTCCCATGATACGTTGCAGATCTCCGGTGCGGGGATCGACGACGATATCGACCGGACGGACGTCGGTGGCGTGGGGAGCACTGGTACGGGCTCGTAGGCAGCGGCGGTGGATGGTAGAGGGGTTCAGAGCGAGTGAATGTCCATGGCAGAGCACGTACCGCCAGATTTGGATTCTGGATGCTGCTGTACTGGAAAAGGTGATCGCAGAATCGGTTGCGGCAGGCCGTGCGTCCGCCCAATGAATGAATGCTCGTGACCTAGTACGTACCGGATACAGGAACCTTTCTCGCTACGCAAACCGTGATTGCAGAGGCCAGCTAGCTGCATCCTGCGTTCGTGGCTGCAGATCTTTCTGTTTTCCGCAAGAGAAAACGTAGGCACGATTTTGGCGACGGTCTGATCAACCGGTGGACTGTTTTTCTGGTGCGTATTGGTTTTGTGATGAGATCGTATTCACTTCACCGTTTCAACGAAACCGACTTTTCTATCTTTGTCATAGGAGCAATAACCGAGAGCTTTGGCTGTTGCTTTTACAATATCTTTGGTAGTACTTTCTCCGTCTCACATTAACTGCCGCTCAAAGGATGTAGTATCTAATCTCTGTCTCATATTAATTATCGCTCAAACCATATGTAAGTTGAGTAAAATTTGGCAAGCGGTGGAGTACTTCTTTCATACATTGGGGGCGTTATTAAATGGTTTCAACAAAAACTACTTTTTACCCCATAGGAAAAACTAACACTACTTTTCTATTTTTGACATCGCGCAAAAGCCAAGAGCTTTGGTTATTTCTTTATTTTTTTTTGCGAGATTAATAGTAGTTTATTCCATCATGTTAGAGCTACAAATCTCCGGCAAGATTTCCTCAATACATGGGGGGACCTTTAATGTGCCACATAGTCATGGCTGGATTAGAGCGACTGTACCTTATCAGACAATCCGCAACAATAACTTTAGTACTAGTTGAATACCCATGTGTTGCCACGGGATGACATGTAAAATCTAGAACATAACTTATTGATTCAATGTGTCTCACTTGGACGGACATGTTGGAAACTATGATACAAAAATTGTAATGCATAGATCAAGAAATATATATTACAATATTTTTTGGGGCAAAGTTGTGCGTGCAATTTTTGGTCATAACACGGGAAGACGTCACCATTTATACCATGCTTCCTCCTCCGCCCCCTCCTGCTCAGGGACGAAGCTAGAAAAAATGGGCACTAGTGTCAACCGCTGCCCACGCTAAGCCTCTTGCAGAAATTATAGTGGTGCAACAACATAGATAATGGCCGAGAGCGATATAAAGAGCAACAATATGCAATGAGTTGGTGATATTATTATTACATAAAAAAATTACATACCGAGTAGCGAATATTGGCTGAACGAAGTCATAAAGTAACACTTCTTTACATATTCCGGAAATAATAGGCAAAAAGATGACTTTCGAACGTTTCACTTGTAACTTTCTGGAAAGGATGAACAAAAGGACATATTATATTCACAAGAATAGTAAGAAACAAATAAGGCAGAAAATAAGTATCATTAAGGAAAAAAATAAAGTGATCCGAGACTCACATTTTATAACTTCCCTTCTCGATCTTCCATCTTCTTAAATAGATCAATCACATCATCATTCGTTATTGTAGAAAATATGTCTTTCACCACATAGCAAATCAGGCAATCACTCGTGAACTCATCACCCATTCTGTTCCGCAAAACACTCTTGACGATATTCATTGCTGAAAAGCATCTCTCCACTGACGCTGTGGCAACTGGCAAAATTAGCACCAACTTGAGAAGTTGATACACCAAAGGAAAATCAAGATGCTTTTTAGTTTCCACCAACACTTTGGCAAGATCAGCAATGCCATCCAAATTGGCAAATCTTTGGTCCGCTCGGACATTGTCTATGAAAATCCGAAGTTCATGACCAAGATTCATCAATTGTGTTGAATTGAAATCATCAGGATAAAACTCATCTTGCTTCTTAGGATTCTTTGTGTACTGCCATATTTTTTTCGATCAGCTGGATCATGAGGAAGTGCATCTAAGTTAATTTGTGCCGGAGGCGAAGGAGTAGTACCAATATTTGATGCAAGACCTTGTCTTGGTCTAACCAATGTTGGGGATATCGTTTATCGAGAACTTATCGGTCGACCCATGATAAGGAGTAAATCGGCCAGTTTATCGGCATATCGGCCGATTTATCGCCATATCGGCTGATTTATCGGCCGATTTATCTTATCGGTCTGACAGCGGTAAGCGATAAATCGGCCGATTTATCGGCATATCGGAAGATATCTTGAACAGTGGGTCTAACTGGCCTTGAAATCCCTGCCACATTACTATCTGGTGCTGGTCGTTTCCCTTTCAACAAAAAATTATCCATATCCTCCTGCTCCTTGGCAAATCAAAGAAAAGAAATACTTAGCCAATAGCCATCATGAAATCAAAGCACAAGTAGAATTGTAGACAGTCTAGAGACCGAGAGAGAGGGTGCATATTACCTGGGATGGGAAGAACCAACACTTGCAAATTAAAGATTTTGCACTGGCGGATGGTCGGCCGATATCAACATTCACCCGATGAAATGGCGTCGAGTTCGCCGTCGTTCGTCGCCGATTCACTACGGCGGCTGCGGAAATAGGGATCGAGATGAGGAGGGGAAGAGACGAGGGCGTCCGTCGCGTACAGGTACAACGTACAACAGACCGATTAATTGATACATAGAGACGTGCGTACGCATTGGGCCTGGCCTTGTGTCATTGTTTGCTGTCGCAGGCTCTTGATTTTTTTAGAACTTAATGGATCATATGGGCTAAGGCTTTAGGAATTAGCTGCTCTGCTGCTAGGATGGGGTCAATGGAATTTTTGGGCTGGGGTCAAACGCATTTTTGCTAATACTTATTAGCTGAAAGGCCAGAAGGCACTGGTGTCAATTGACACCAGTGGCTACATGGGAGCTCCGTCCCTGACTCCTGCTCTCTCATTCAACGTCATTTCATTACCGGAAATGCTGTGCAGACGATGGATCGATCGCACGACAGTTGGACGATGCCACATCCAGCCGTTCACTGGACTTCGATGACATGCATGGACGACCTGATGTGCAGCGTCGTGCACAAATCGTTCGCGCATCGTCGTCTGCGTAGCAGTGCTCTTTCATTACACGTCTGATACTCCATCATCATCCATGAGCTTGTTCTAGTTCTGACGATTACCTAAAGAAGTCCATGTTGCCTCATGTTCTGTATTATACCATCTAGTGTCCATCCCCATAGATGGATAATAACAACAAATGTGCGGCTGGCCTCAGCTTCACCTCAAATTCCACAGCACACACAGACCTAGGCTCTGCACTATGATAAGGTGCTCCAAACAGTGGACGATCTCGAGCTCCACATCACCTACAATTAAACCTCTTATATCATTGTATGTGTGAAACAGAAATGATAACTGAGAACCTATATAAGGAAGATCCTTCGAACAATATTGCAGGCCATGGTGAACTTGTACGTGTGATTAAGGTCCTTGAAAACACGATGTAGTTGGCCGCGCTTCTAACCTTCTTAAGGAAACTCAAGTAGTGCCTAGTTCATGATTCCAGTTCAGTATTCGAGTTCATACGATTCAATAGAAGCTGACTAAAAGAAAATGTCATCTTCAAACCATGTGAGCTACAAAATACGTTTTACCTACAAATTATGAAAATAGATTAACATCGATGTACAACCTTCTAAAAGCTTTGTGTAGTTTAATGATGAGCAAGAGTGCAAGACAAGTTCCATATCTTCATTGCATGACTATAAATGGGATACCCTCCCAGAATATAGCCTGGGAACCATCACTAACTAAGAAAATGCTAATCTGAAAATTCTTTGGCTTTCATCACCCCTGATAAAAAAGTGAATCAGCGGGGTTTTCAATGGATTT